ACAACTACTAAAATACTAGTATTAATAATTTTTTAGGGTCCTTAAAGTACATTTTTATTGTTGCCATCTTATTTTTATTGTTGTACTTATTTAAATTTAAGTCTTTGAAAAGCCTCTTGGGGAAAGTCAATAAAGTATGTATGTACTGTATGTAATAAGAGCGTATCGCTAGCCACTAACTGTTAACGGCTTCCTGCTGAAAAGCTAGCTTTTATCTGTCAAAAATTATACTGAAATCCAACTGTGAACATATATCTGCAGATGGCGTAGTGCGCACAAAAAACAAGTGCTAAAGACGCAAATGTTTTAGTTACTGGGGAGGTGACAGGAAAAAATGTTTTGGGCGCCGTAAAACATTTCAAAAAAGATGAATAACTTTAAAAAACGCGTGGTTACCCCTACATTTCATGGGATGGAAGTGGAAAGCCTATTCAGCACGTGATTAGTTTTTGGTTGTGAGGAAATGCTATTTAGACTGTGTTTTAGCTGAACCAAAAGAAGGCTGTCAGAGGCTAAAAGTGCTGTTGGAACGATTTTGTCATTGAAAACACACCAAAAATGGTTTTTATTTTATCATTTACCATGTAGTCTTAAGACCTTTATAAACGTGTTTGCTTTTCTGTATGCAAAGGTGAAATCTAAGGAAATCTGTGAAGAAATATCCTTTCCTTCTTTTATCAGAAAATTGCTGATGTCAGCATTTTTGTTGAGATTCAAGGCTAATTATCTCGAAAAAAATGCGTGGCTACCCCCATTCTTCTTTGTGGATTCCAATAGCCCTTGCAAAGATCTACTTTTTCCGCATGGTCCAAACCTGGCGCAAAAACCTTTGTATTTAGTAGGCACCGTCCTTAATACGAGTGCACCTAATATCTTCTTCAGTGTAACTCTTGGGTAAGTTTTGAAAGAGATCTAAACATGAAAATAAAAAAGGAAGTAAAGATTGATATAACCCACAAAACCCACAGACAGTTCCTATGCGTTTAACAATCTACTGAAATCTAAGGTTTTGTTATCAATAAAACATCTTGTTTCAAAAGTGCAGGCGAAAGGATTCAATTGGAGACTACACTGCCCCAAGTTCAAAGAACGTGTTTGAACTTCTTCTCGCTGCTGAACAACTTCACGTGAGAAATATTGTTAAACCATTCTGTGATTTCATGCTGGTTCAGTTTGTTCTACTTCATTTTGATGTGCAAACGTATACTGTCGCGTTTGAACAGTTTCGTGACCTTCCTTGCGTGAGCTTTTGATGCAGACGGGCCGATCACAAAACAACTCTGTAAGATTTGCATTTCTCCGTCTGCAAGATTTGCATTTTTTAAACTGCAAATCACTGTTGCATAAAAACGCTTCTCTTTCACTATCAGAGTTCGTCAACATCGCAAACCATCTCAAGATGGTCGCCCATTCCGAGATTCTTTTATCCAAATGTGCTCAGTTTCGAGACGAAGGTCAATTCATCGACGTTCGTTTAAAAGTGCGTGAAGACATCTT